AAACAAACATAAAAAACAACTTACTTGCTGCATTAATGAATTCATAATACATGTTGTAAGGAAATAAAGGTTCTGGTAGTTCTCTAAACCAGAGTTTCAGAACACCCGCAATATTATTAATATCTGATAAAAAGTCCTCAGTTTTTAAATCCACTGCTTCCGCATCTATAATTATATAATTCATTAATTATTGATAAAGTCACAACTATTATAATTATTTAATTTTAATCTTACTTCTATCAAATAATGTTTTTAGTTTTTGAATTTGTGAAGTTGCCCCATTTAACCGATAAATACCCTGGCTCTCGAGTCCTAAGTAAGTTAATATCATAAATTTAATAAATAGCTTATAAGGTTACGCGAGCAAAATAATATTAATTGATAATACCATATTGCTCAATCGCTTCAGCGCATTTTACCAATATTAACGGAAGCTCATGACCATCACGTTCCATTTGTTCAGCTAAATCAACACCAAAAATACTTCGTGGATTCATGATATCTAAAACTTGTGGTGACTAAAATTCCATAATTTAATTTTAGTATCATCGGGATTACAATTCTAAGATTCATCAATAAAAACTCACCAGAGTGTACTCTTTGTATGTAATATTTTTTCTCGTCACCTTCCTAGCTTTAGCACCAAATCCAACCACATATGACTGAAAATCTGCTTCATTATCGATCTTTTCAACAATTTTGCGTAATGAAGGGGCTATAATTAACGAATCAAGAAAATTATTAACAATTTGCAGCGTTACATATATATACATATCATGTTGAAAAAAATCGCGCACTGATTTTCGTGAGTTTTTCTTGCATAATTACCATCTTCCGAATTTACGGGGCTGATAACCAAAGCGTCGCTTACCATAGTATTTTCAAATAGGTAAGAGTACCGCGCTAGATGATATCGAAGCGCTGCATCGCATTCATCAGCGGTATCTTTGAGTGCCTAATGAAATTCATTAGTCAAATAAAATATATTAAAGGTATTTCTCATGTAGAATTCTGTGCTCACCGTTATCATCCGTGGTAAATGAACGTTATAATAATCATGTCGTGTCGCATTTGTATATGATAATTGTGATTTATAATTTTCATTTGCTAATGCAGCTTTCTTACTGGCTTCTTCCTCCATCTTGACTAACTTTAAAAAATTCAGTTAATCAAATATTGAAAATCCCTATATGTTGTGTATTATGTATATGTATATATTAATTGTGATTCTTAAATAAAAGTAATTCACCTGAATTGGAGATTTTGGTTTATTATTAAATATTGACTTCGTAAGAGTTCTCTTCGACACAGGAACAATATCCCCACTTTTTTCCAATATTTTACGCTCCCACTCTTCGCTTTGCGATTCGTATTTTAGCTTAGCCTAGGTTTCCATAGGGTTAAAATCTTTTTTTGAAAATCAGAATCATTCAAAATGTTTTAAAAAACCTTTTCTAAAACTTGTTCAGCTTCTTGGATATTCTTTTCGTATTTTAGTCCTGCATCTTTCGACTAATAAACATAAGAAGATTTTAATGGTGATCCGTTAATTGAAACTAAGCTTAATATTAAAGATGTGTACTAACATTTTTCCGACTCTTTTCTGTGTCTTTAAAATGTGACGTAAGTTCTTCCGATATGTCACTTATAGCAGCAGCAAATTTTACACGATTTTCACCAATCGCCTCGTGAAGCCGCATCATATTCATCCAACTATCTCCATATGTACTAAATAATGTTAAGAATTGATATAAATAGGAGAGCCTATAAAATATTCGGAGAAATACAAATAAACAAAATAAGTTAATTTTCAAATACCCTTGTTTGTTGACATTGTGCTGATGACTTTCTTGCATACCCTTTGACAGCTTAATCATCATTCGTCCGTATTCTTCCTCTATTGCAGCTCGTTTTTTTAAAAATAGTGCCGCTTCCTTTGCGAAAAAGATTTAATTAATCAGCCACGAGTAACTTCATGATAATACATTGTTTTCTATATGAATTACATACCTTACAAGACTGTGCGTCTTGTCTTACACGTTCGAGTATTAAATTAAGACCTCCCTAAAAGGAAAAAAAGCAGAATCCATGAATATTTTAGTCGTTCTTTAAAATGAAAGGTTCATTTACTCACGTCAATGTCGCACATATATTTAATTACACCTTCTGGTTCGATTGTAGAATCAACGGCTGTATCAGAGGTAACACTTTCTTGGTCATAAGTTTCCATAGTACGAAAGGAATTGACAGAGGAGCCGTCACCGTCCGCAGTTACTGCTAAAGAAACTGAAGAGTTGTTGGCTTCCGTAGTAGAAAAGAGTTGATCTTGTGATGACAAATACATTGTCAGTGGCCGGGCTCTTGGTTGAGGAGAGGATGGCACAGGTGACACCTGCATTGATTTTACTTTTCGCTCCCGGTCATTTCTTAGCATAAATTTCTCCGAATTGGCAAGCATTAGTTCGCGTTAAGGTGGTGTTTTCGTCTATTCGTCGTGGCTTCTATAGAAGTAAAGGAGGATAGTCCGGAGAAAAAAGGGATTTTGGTAAGTCTAGGTGTTTATGCACTATACTTTATTCGTACTTCATCAGATTTGATTATAGAGTGTCACGAGACCATAGATTCATTATTTTACGTAATACAACGTAAAGATTTGCATTAAACTGATGATACGTAAACTTCAGACGGGAATTGAGTTTTCTTTTTTGGTTACAATGAGTATTTTACATTTTGGCCGAAAATTTTCTTTTAACAATGTTATAAGAGAACGTGGCAATTATTACATTTTCAAACGCTTATTCAATTCCAGTTCGGTTAACTTTGCCGAAGAAACTAAAAAAGGCGGAGATTCCGATACTTTGAAAAATAGTTTTTTTAATCCTCGCACTCCAAATGCCTCTGAAGAGCAACAGCAAGTCGAAGCGAACTCTACGCCAATATCGAAGGCTAGCTCCATAGTTCATAGCATTCTTCATGGCTCCACACGAGCCAAAGAAGAATTGATGCAAACCCATTCGAAGTTGGTCGCCCGGGGGAAATATGTACATGAGTTAGTAAGTGAGTATTCTTTTACTTGTCTTTACTATATAAAGTTTATTCATTTATGTTTGACTACCAATGATCATATTTAGCATTTAATGCTGACATTATTCATTCGTTTTTGTTAGAACACAAAATAAAACCGAAATATCTGGACGATTATATTAAATTAATGTGAGCGGTCTATTTTCAATTAGAATTCACATAAATTTGGTTACACTAATTCTTTCTTTTTAGCTCGGAACATTATCCTCGAATAGCAAATGATCCCGCAAATGCATTACATCTTTCCGGAAGCTGGCAGACGGAAGTTGGGGATCTCGATTCTTTTTGTAAGCAATTATTGAATTTGAAAGTTAAATTCACCTCTTTCCGAAGATATAACTATATTATCGTATTCAGTTCACCTTTGGGAATACAACGGATATACCGGTTATCAGGAAACTAAAAATCAATTGAAAAATGATCAGGTGAATAAAAACAATATTATTTCAATTATCATTTATTATTGTTTGATTTTTATTTATGATTATCATGTGCATAGATTTATCAGGACTTTGAAAAAAAAATAAGGCCAATGATTCTGAGTCGCACGAATCAAATATGTCTTGAATTTGCTTTTTGGCAAACTAGTCCACCTGCTGTTCATGGTGGAATCTATGAACTGAGATCCTATGGCTTGAAGGTATATGTGATTATTTTTGCAGGGATATTTATAAACTTTTAACTAAAAACTAGTTGTTATCTAGCCGGGTCATTTGTTAGAATGGGAAACATATTGGTAAGTTTGATGAATTGTAATCTCTTTTCTCTTATATTTTTCGATCGTTTTTCGCTATATTCCTTCTTTATGTATGCAGGCATAAAGGGTTAGAATGTCGTCGTCAATTCTGTGAACCTGTGGGAGCTTGGTTCTCTCAATTAGGTACACTCAATTGTGTACATCATATGTGGAATTATCCGTAAGTTTATTTTTGTAATTATTAGTTTACATTAAATCATCTGATTAATCGATCTTTCTAGTGATCTTGAAACGCGTAAAACTACTCGTGAACAAGCATGGCAAGTTGATGGATGGGCCGAAACAGTGTATAAAACTGGTAATTATCACGAGTAAATTATAACAATGTTTTCTTGATGCAAGCTGAAATAACTTATTGTCTCTTGATAGTTCGATTGGTTCAAATGATGGAAACGGCAATATTGATACCTCTGCCATTTAGTCCGCTTCGCTAAAAGCACAAGCTTTATTAGACAAAATTTTGGATCGCAAAGCAAATACAAAGGATCACATATTTATTGAACAGGAATCACTCTTAATTATAAAATTATTTCATCATATATCAGCGAGTTCTTTGAATAAGTGATGAGAAGAACCCCTGGAAGCAAATGAAATTGGATCATCAGGTTAATATCCTATTATCTTGAAGTGTTTTTTTTGCTTTTTCATAGACACCCAAAAATATGTAACCACCAACAGAAACCCACATCACTCGTGGACCAATTCCTGAGAATAATGCGCGTGGTCCTTCTTCAGACCAAATGCGTTTCAAAGTATCCACAATTCCAGAATATCTGTGAATATTTTGATGCTATTAAATTTGATAATAAAACATAACAAATTCAGCATTATTTTTTTTTTAAAAAAAACATTATTTCGTGGAAAAATCTAATTAATACTTTGGAGGATAGCATAATACGAGTCTTTACTACGTCCAATGGTGTGGTAATTGCAGCCGCAGTACCACCTGCTATTGACCCACATATTGCCGCTTCCCAGGGATTGACACGAGTTCGATCGCTATGTTTAGCTACAAATTTTTTAAGGAATTCATACAATGGAAATTGAAGACACGCAAATGGTATCTGAAATCCAAGTTTCCAGTTACAAAAAGTGACATGACAACAAGAGTATAATCAAATAGCTAATTTTTCACCTCTCGAGATATCGTAATCAAATAACCACGGTACAGGCCCAATACACCTTCATATTGGATAATGGATCGAATGGCGGACAGAGTTAAATGGTATTGGTTAGTTTGCATACGTTGTTTAATAATTTCAGTTGGGACGCGAACAACGCATGCAGCCTTACAGAAATTTTCGAACAAGCAATTTTAAAAATTTGTCTGTGAGCAGAATTGCAAGTTATTTATTAATCGATACTTTATTTCTTTTTTTTTGCACACGCGAATGATAATTGTAATCAATAATAAATACCAGTTCACCCCCAGAAGCAGCTGCCATATGGATGAAAGGAAGATATTTCGTGTCGGGAAAGAGAAATGAAAGCGATCCTTTGAGATATTCATAAGTGACAAAAAAGGAGGAAGCTAAAATAACAAAATTTATTTGTTTGAGGGTTGTTATTGATTTCGAAAAATGTGCTAGTTATACCTCCAGGCGCACTTCCAACTACAGCACTGGTCAATCCAGAATATATGCCACGAAAACCACCAGAAGCATAAAATCCTGACTTTGATTGAAGTCTAGTTTTTATTGTATCGAGAGGAAAAAGTACAGTGTCGACAGCTGTCCCAGCAATTCCACCTGCCTATAAATCAATTACAATAGTAATTGACTTCTTTTTGGGATTCAAACTATGCGAAGAGAGTATATGCTTACCACAAGAGCTTGTCTAAAACTTGCAATATCGTTTCGAGCTTCGCGAGACATTTTTTAGTAATTTGAAGAAAATTCGTTCATTCATTCCAAATTAGGAGTAGTTGAGGGGTTTATGCATCGAAATCAATAACCAAAATTGGTATTTTATCATTATACAGAAGATCTACCGATCTAAAAAAAGTGAAATTATGCGTTGTTAATGACAATATATCCATTTCGTTGATACGATTGAAGAAACCTCATGCAAATTTCCTGCGCTCTTACCGGACTTAGATCCTTCAATAATAAAAGATATCAAATCACGAATCACAATTTTATTAAAAGATTCCATCCTAGGTCATATTTCACAAGTAACCATGGATTATGCGAGACAGCAAATGTTCTATCAACGACCGCGCCTGTTGTAACTTCGACAAATTTATGGCGAACAGGCTCTTGTAATTCAAATGCCACTAATACATACTCGTATCTTTTCGACCACGAACGAAGAAAAGTTTCTTATGGAAATCTTTCTCAGCGACAACAACGTCAAATTAACACGTGCGCTTCAGCTTCGTATGAACGTATTCTTGCTCCGTGGAATCGTAATAATATTAACAAAAGAAGGGATAATTTGAAATCTAGATCGATTAAGACGGTGACTCAGAATCAATTCTGGAGTGTTGGCCTGAATTTTTACAAGTTATCGTCAAGAAGGCAGCAGCAGTTGAACAATCTTGCACTAATTTGTAAAAGTCATTTACTGACACTAGAGATTGGTTGCAAACATTATAATGATCTTTTTTTGTTTGTTAATTTACGTTCTGGGAATAATGTGGCATACTTTTCCTCGAAAAATTCTGGAGATAGCAAAAGTCCATCAAAACGTGATAAGAATGATAATAAAGATAGCTCTACATCTCAACAGACCAATGCTGACCCATTAGGTAGTAAAAAGACCTCAAAGAAGCGTAGTAAAAATAAAACTGACGACCAAGCCACCCCTTTAACTCAACCGAATAACGATGAACCTTCTTCAAATAAAAAACTATCAGCTAAAAAACGCGTCAAGGAATATATCAATGATCAAGTCACACCTCTAACTCCAACACCACAGGATAATATTGGGCCTCCACAAAATAAAAAATCATCAGTAAAGAAGCGTGTCGAAGAAAGCAGAATTGATCAAACTACGCCTCCGTCTCCGCTGGTAAATAAGCCTCCATCAAATAAAAAATCATTAGTAGAGAAGCACGTTGAAGAAAGCAGAATTTATCAAGCTACGCCGCCTCCTCCATGTGATGATAATATTGAGCCTCTGTTAAATAAATCGCTAGGAAAGAAGGGTGCAAAAGAAAACAGAGTTGATCAAGCTACGACCCTGCCTTCACATGATGATAATATTGAGCCTCCGTTAACCAAATCGCTAGGGAAGAAGCGCGTCAAGGAAAGCAGCATTAATCAAGCTACACCTCGGTCTCCGCTAGAAAATGAGCCTCCGTCAAATAAAAAGTCATTAGTAAAGAAGCGTATTGAAAAAATCCGAATTGATCAAGTTACGCTTCCATCTTCACGTGTTGATAATATTGAGCCTCCGTTGACTAAATCTTTAGGAAAGAAGGATGTAAAGGAAAGCGGAATTGATCAAGCTACGACTCCGCCTCCACGTGATAATAATATTGAGCCTCCGTCAAATAAAAAACCATCAGTAAAGAAGCGCGTCAAGGAAAGCAGCATCGCTCCATTCCCACAGGGTAAAATGGAATCTTCATTAAATATAAATAAGCAAAAAATAGACACTGATAGTATCAGTAGAAAACAAGCGTCTCCATCATCTCGAAAGAAGATCAACACTAAACAAATGTTATCGCCCGAAATTTTAATATATCAACAACTTCAAACTGAAGCAAGCGTTGAAGAAATCTGGTCAACTTATTTGCAATTAGAAGCAACCAGTAAGATCACATTATTGAAGAGGGAAAATTTTATTGCAATTATAAATCAAATTTTAAAAAACTATAATTCATTTGTGGCCCCACCAAAAATATCCAAAATTCTCCAAGACATGAAATTGTGCAAATATTCAATTCGGCAGCATGAGAAAAATTTAATAATAGAAGTATATTTGCGCAATGGAAACTTTAACGATGCTCGGACATTATTTGATGAAATTCATAACGCCAAGATTGAACGGGAATTTGAAGCACAATCTTATAATCCATTTACTAAAGCAGCCAACTTGATGATTGAAGCTTACGGAAAAGAAAAAAATCTCGATCAAATAGATGAGATTCTAAAAACAATAAAGAGAAAAATAATTCTTCCTGACGTAGGTACAAACAAGATCTTAAAAGAAGTTGTTTTAAATAATATAGGAAATGGTTCCTCAGCTTGGTTTGATCAATTGGTAATTCGTCAGCTTGTAAATTCTGTCTTAGCAAGAGAAATATGCATAGAATTTGCTAAAATTGGAAAATTCAATGATGCTCTTGAATTATATGTAAACATGAAAGCAGTGAATATGCAACTGGAACTTGGCGATTTTTTGACGATTATCAATGAATTGAAAAAGAGAAACCACGAAAAAGAAGCATTGGATATGATTGATGAATTGGTCTCGTCAAAGTTGGTGTTAAATCAAGAAGCTTTAGATATAATTTCTGGTTCATATTTAGAGGCTATAAGTCTAGAGAAAGCACACGATTTCCTTATTGAATTGATAAAAAGAGGATATGATTTGGATATTAAATTTTTCAATAACTTAATTCAGAAATACGCGAGACTCGGAAAAGTTAATTCAACTCTTTCACTTGTGACCAGAATGAGAAGCGCTGGAATTCTACCTGATTTTGATACTTATACTTCGCTGCTTGAATTATTCGTAAAAGTCAATGATACAAACGCGATGGAAAAGATATTTGCACGAATGAAGTCAGAAGGATTTGACGCTAATCTTGCTATCTATAATTTACTCACGAGAGGATACGCTCGCTCGTATGATGTACAAAAAGCTTTTGAAGTATGTCGGACCATGTTGGGTGCGGGAATCGAGCCGAATGAATTCACTTATAATGCATTGATTTCATTTTTTGCCGAGAAATCAGATCCAATTGGTGCAACAATGTTATATAATGAAATGAAAAAATTTGATTTACCATCAAATGTCTTTACTTATACGTCTTTGGTTAAAGCTCATGCATGGACATCTGATATACATGGAGCCGAGAAAATTATGCGAAATATGAGAATTGCTGGAGTTGAACCGAATGCTCCAACTTATAATATTATAATGAATGCACGTTCAAAAAACAGAGATTTTGAGTCTTGTCAACTAATATTCCAAGAAATGGTTCGATTGAATGTACAACCGAATAATCACACTTATAGTTGTTTAATGGAAGGACTCTGCCGACTTGGAAATATGCAAGCTGCAGAATCAATTTTAGCAAGACTTAAAAATACAACTGATACCAAACCTGATGTTTTTCATTATACAATGCTGATGAATGCTTATGTTAAACATAAGAAGCTCGAGAGAGTATTTGAACTTTATGAGGAAATGCTTAAAGAAAAAATTGAGCCTACCTATTTCACTTATGCCATATTAATTAATGGACATGCACGAATGGGAAATATCGAATTCGCGCGTAAACTTTTATCAGAATTAATTGAACAATCAAAGAAAACCGTCAAATTAGAGGATATCGAATGGCAAAATAAATTACCTGCACAAGCATTTACACCACTGATGGATGCTTATGCAAAACAAGGACAATCTGAGAAGGCCAAAGAAATTTTTGCTGAAATGCTTTCACATGGAATTCGGCCTGAAGGACATGCATATACCATTCTAATGGATGCATATCGATATGGTGGTGATTATCAAGCTGTTTGGCAAATGTGGCAAATTCTACGTCAAGATCCAGAAATTGGTTATCTGGATATTGCAGAGTCAAGATCGAATTTAAGAAGTTTAAAAATGAGACTAAAAGCGCTGGAAGCATCAAACAAAAGACTCATAGAAGGATCTGAGGAACTTGAAGCTTTACCACTACAACATCCACCTAGACCACCTCCTCATGCATTATCAATTCTAATGGATGTGTTGATTACGACACAGAGATTTGATATTGTAGAGAAAGAATGGCGGAAACTCAAATCTGAAGGTTTTTCATTTGACTCGGACAATTTAAATTCATATTCACGATCATTAATACTTTCCAGGAGAATTATAGAAGCATGTGATATAATAAAACAACGATTAATACGAGGATGGAATTCACAATTGGCATTTTGGCGTCTGGATACTGAAAGACCAAAGGAAGAACTTAAATCTCAAAAGCACGAGTTATTACGAAGAAAACCCAATCAATTCTACCCACAGAAAAAAACACTTATTTTGCTTGGGCAAGTACTTGAAAAGTTAAAATCGGGAGAATTGTTAATAGTTAATAATATGTTAGAAGAAAGTATTGATTATAGAAGTAGGTCATCATCCACCACCGCGAAAATTCTAACAATGGACGATATTATGCAGATTTATCCAGATATAGTAACTGCTACTGAAGCAATAGGCCAAGTAGAGAGATATGCACGCAGAGAACAGGAAAGATATCAAGTGTATTAAATCATCAAATATTCGAATAATTTATGTATAATGTCTGTAATTTTTTAACTAATAAATGTACTTTATTTCATGGTGTGAATTTCTATCACCAGCCAATCAAATCAGAAATACATAACGTCTAGACACTATATCAATGCATCTCGAGTAACTAACAATAAATTTGAGACATATAATTGAAATTAGAAATTATCGTATTGTTCATTGAATCGACAATTAATTTTGTCAGTATAAATAAACTAAGATTTAATTACGAAGGGATATTTTAATAATTTTTATATAGTTCATAGAGGTCATCAGAAAAAGTATATTGTTGTCGTTTTGCACGCAGTGTGTATTTTGTGTTAGATGCCCTTGATTTGACATGGAAGTTGAGGCAATACTGCTTTGAACGATTAATATCTCATGTTAATTAAAGTCTTTATCATTACGTTTATTAACTAACTTTACGACTATATAATAAGAATAAAAAATGTAATTTCTAAAATAAAATATTACTATTTGACTGTTTTTATATTTATTATTAACAATATTATTTTTTAGATATGACAACAATAGATAATAATCCATATGCTTTTAAATTTACGTGAGTTACTCATGTTAATGAATCTGAAAGTGAAGGAGAATAATGAAGAGATTAATGATATAAAAGAAAGATTTTTACTCAAAATTCAAATCAATTAAAATTACCATTATCACCATTTTTTCAGAAGTTACAACATCATAAATCACTTTATGTGGGGGATCATGATGAAAAATGGATTATGGTGAAAATTTGCAATATCTATTATAATAAATTATGAATAACAATTACACTCATAAATTTACATATTATTGCAAAATTAATTTAAGTTATATATTTTATGCATTTATTATTATTTTCAAAATATTGCTCATTATAAGAAATTATCGATAATTCTGACCAAATGATTTCATGATCTGCACAATTTTGGCCAAAATTTTCATCATAATTCATGATCATCCATACTTTATACTTCTCAAACAAAAGTTGTTGATAAATTAATACTAAGTAAAGTTATATCATATTTATTTTTTGATTACTTTTTTCAAAATTTACAATTAGAAATAATAGTAAAAAATACAAATTATTATACAATATTAAAATTAGTTAGAGAATAAGAATAAAAATAAATTTCTTTAAGCATAAAAAAATTATTAATATTGTTGTAATATGAATTTTAACATATCACATGATTTCTCATAGTTTATTTTGATTGGATAATTGATTTTCATGTGATTTATAAATCATATCCATATTTATTTCATATTATCTGTATTTTACTCATACTATTTCATTTTATTTTTATTATATTTCATATTATTTCATTTTTATTTCATATTATTTCATTCTATTTTTATTATATTTCATATTATTTCATTTTATTTTTATATTATTTTATTCTACATTAATTATAATTTATTTTAATTCATATTATTATGATATGATATTTGACAAACAATTTTATTAAATAACAAATATATTAATTATTATTGAATTATATTTCTATTGGATAGTTATTTTAAATAATTGCTATTTTATTGGACAATTATATGTTAGATATTATTGATTCTTAGATTTGTATTAGTATCAACAATGTCAACAACACTAGCAATGCTTGTGTTAATGACAACAATGACAACAATGATATCAACATTTGTATTAACATTAGAAATACTGATAACATTCATGTTTAATTAAATTAACAACAACAATAATAGAACCAGTTATATTGTATAACATATAATTTATATAAATATATCATATTATCATTGATTTATGATCTTTACTAATGAAGATATTTACGAGATAGGTGATAGTGACTGTGTTTAAGGTTGCTTGCCGAAATCCCTTAGTGACTGTCTAAATTCTGTCAAAATTATAATAAACTATTAGTAAATAACCT